CTTACTCTACTCCCGACTTATTATCTATCATATCAATATTATTGAGACATAAGAGAGACAGGTTGGGGGAGGAAGAATNTAAGGAAGTAGTGGGCTGTTTGGGCACCACGGAAGCTCTGCCCCCTAGATAATGATCTGTGGGTCATCCCCTCCGATGGTTGGCCCCACCCCAAATATGGGTGGGACCACCTTGAGGGTTTCCGGATTCCCCCTCGAGGCACACCTCGTGCAACCACAATGAGGGGGCGGGAGGCCAGGGGGTTTAGTCCGCCCACAGAATGTCATTGCGTGGGCGGAGAACCCCCCGGCATGGTGGACCGGAACGCATGAAAGGCCCGGTTATTCTGGGGGGCGGGGCTGAAGTGGGGCCCATACATTGGCCACACTTCCTCAGGGCAGTGTGGCCACCGTCTCATTGTTTAGGCAATCGGTACAGAGGACGGTGGACCACGGTAGGCAGGTGGACCCGAGGTAAGATTAATTGTCATTTAGAGCAATGGTTTAAATGGAGTTAATCAGCAGGGGCCATCCTCGCTTGGGTTGACCGCCCACGCACCCACTGCATGGCGTGGGTAGTATGCAAATGTAGCAACCCACTTGTACGCCCACGCAGTTCAGTTGTGTGCATGCGTGGGTGACCAGCATCATCCAGCATTCATTTAGGATTTCAAGCATGGAAGAAGCACCACCGATTGTTCTTCCACCACCCACCCAACATCTAGTAGGTTTAGGTTTTCCACTGGGTCCCTTCCCAGTGTGATAGTATGGGCACCACGGAAGCTCTGCCCCCTAGATAATGATCTGTGGGTCATCCCCTCCGATGGTTGGCCCCACCCCAAATATGGGTGGGACCACCTTGAGGGTTTCCGGATTCCCCCTCGAGGCACACCTCGTGCAACCACAATGAGGGGGCGGGAGGCCAGGGGGTTTAGTCCGCCCACAGAATGTCATTGCGTGGGCGGAGAACCCCCCGGCATGGTGGACCGGAACGCATGAAAGGCCCGGTTATTCTGGGGGGCGAGGCTGAAGTGGGGCCCATACATTGGCCACACTTCCTCAGGGCAGTGTGGCCACCGTCTCATTGTTTAGGCAATCGGTACAGACCACGGTAGGCAGGTGGACCCGAGGTAAGATTAAATACCCTTTTCAATGCTAAGCATCTACCGTATTACGCATAAATAGGGGTGACGTACGTGTACATACATACATACATACATACATACATACATACATACATACTCGTCTCATTTATGTGGGGCTCGCTCAGGCTCGCCCCAATAACTAGGTGAATGTAGAACATTGAAGGGGCGAGCACAAGCTAGCATGGCAATATACAATGTTTAGATGTCACAAAGGCTAATGTTGTTGTTAAATTGTAACTTGAATGATACACATGCAGAGCAGCTCAGAACTTGTGACTTGCATGCATGAAAGGAAATTTTATAGCTTGCTCTTCTAGCTTTATTAGCAGTGAAGAATCTCAGTTGTAACTTTAATAAGTATAATTTAATTTTACTATGATATTTTCAAGCACAGTACTTTTAGACTCTCTTTTCTCTGATGACTTATGAGCCATTTGAAGTGCTTTTATATTCTGTCATTCAACCATAATTAATAAAAACTTGAAGATTTATGTGTGTTTTCTTGAATTTTCTCTGTTGACAAAGTGTCTTGACAAGAGATCAGTCCTATGTTGCTGCAAGTAAGATTGGCTAAGGTAGGTGCCATTTTTATTTCATTGCAACCACACCCACATCAATGAAAATATTTCATTACAATGCTACCGCATTAGATCATTGATTTTAAAATAGATATTGTGTACACATGGGGTGTGACCAGAATAGGCGTGACTGGAGACGTACGTACATACATACATGTACATACAGAGGGAGGGAGGAAGGGAGACTTCGCCTGAGTGGGGCTCGCTTATGCTCGCCCCAATAATCATGAATCAGTGTAGCATCTATAACTAGGCGAATGTAAAACATTGAGGGGCGAGCAAAATGATTAACATTTCGATTAGCAATATACAATGTTTATATAGACAATGATCGACAATGATGTAGTGGCTATTAAATGTTGAATGTCGATGTCAATACACTAATGCAGAATTTGCAAGCATGGAAGGAATTTCATAGTTTCTAGCTTTGAGTGAAGAATCTCTGCAGTTATATAGATCTAGGATGGAAGATGGTTGGTCTCAGAAGCCAGAAGGAGACTCCATTTGTTGTCTTTGGGTGTGACAAGACCATCTCTAGCATTTCTCCTTATTGGACCTCCTCGCTCTTTTCTCCTCCTCACGCTCATTACGAAGAAGTCGACGAGCTTCACAAGCATCTTCTTGTGAATAACTCATGTTTTAAACTTCAGCTTCTCTTGTTTCTTAAGTACTCTTCAACTCCTCTCTTCCAGTTAAGTTGCTTTACTCTTACTCATTGTCTTTGCACGTGGTACCGTAATTATCAAAATTATCATTTTAAAATGTGTGATTATTATCTTTTTATAGACGCATAAATAGGAGTGACGTACGTGTACAAACAAACAGACAGACAGACAGACAGACAGACATACTCGACTCGATTATGTGGGGCTCGCTTTTGCTCGCCCCAATAAGGACACCTTTATACATGTACAATGTCTATAGACCACTTAGCCAATATTATCCGTTATACACTGTACCACTAAATCACTATACCAATGTACATGTACCAGCATACCAATGTACATGTACCAGCATACTAATGTACATTTACCAGCGTACCAATGTACATGTACCAACAGCCAAAGACTATGTAAATAAATAAATAAATAATAACAAACATGTAGGAACAATACCAATGTACATGTACCAGTGTACCAATGTACATGTACCAGCGTACCAATGTACATGTACCAGCGTACCAATGTACATGTACCAGCGCATAATGTACATGTACCAGTGTACCAATGTAAATGTTTCAGCGTACCAATGTACATGTACCAGCATACCAATGTACATATACCAGCGTACAAATGTACATGTACCAGCGTACCTATGTACCAGTGTTGATCCACCATACTGTATAGCTTGACTATCCCCCAGGTCCTCATATGCCTCCTCAAACAGTCTCATGGTATCACAGTCAAAAGGAAGGTGTGGCTCATCCAGTAGTCC